AAACCAGCTCTTAGTTTTATTTATTAGTTCAATAGTTTTCTTAATTTCAATTTTATTATTTTTCCTTTGGTTTTCAATATTTCTAATTTGGTGTTTAGTTGAGGATTTTTAATTTGTTCTTTTTCTAGTTTTTTTAGTTGTATGCCCAATTCATTAATCTCCTCTTTTTCTATTTTATTTATGTAAGCATTTAGAGATATAAAACTTCCCCTAAGAACTGCTTTGCTGCATCCCATAGGTTTTGGTATGTTGTCTCATTATTGTCATTCTCTTGAATGAAATTATTGATTGTTTCTATGATTTGTTGTTTGACCCAATCATTTTTTAGGATTAGATTATTTAGTTTCCAATTATTTTTTAGTCTATCTTTCCATGGCCCTTTATTACATATAATTTTTATTGCATCATGATCTGAAAAGGATGCATTTAATATTTCTGCCTTTCTGCATTGGATTGTGAGGTTTTTATGCCCTAGTACATGGTCAATTTTTGTGTATGTGCCATGTACTGCCGAGAAAAAAGTATATTCCTTTCTATCCCCATTCAGTTTTCTCCAGAGGTCTATCATACCTAACTTTTCTAATGTTCTATTCACCTCCTTAACTTCTTTCTTGTTTATTGTGGTTAGATTTGTCTAGTGCCAAGAGGGGAGGTTCAGGTCCCCCACTAGTATAGTTTTGCTGTCTATTTCTTCCTGTAACTCCCTGAACTTCTCCTGTAAGAATTTGGATGCTATACCATTTGGTGTTTAGTAATGATATTACTTCATTGTCTATGGTGCTTTTAGCAGGATGTAGTTTCCTTCCTTATCTCTTTTGATTAGATCTATTTTTGCTTTTGCTTTGTCTGAGATCAGGATTGCTACCCTGCTTTTTACTTCAGCTGATGTAATATATTCTGCTCCAGCCTTTTACCTTACCCTGTATGTGTCTTTTTCAAATGTGTTTCCTGTAACATATTGTAGGATTATGGTTTTTAATCCATTCTGCAATCTGTTTCCGTTTTATGGGAGAGTTCATCCCATTCACATTCACAGTTATGATTACTATCTGTGTCTTTTTCTCCATCCTTTTTTCCCCCATTTATGCTTTTCTTTCTCCTTTTTCCTTTCCCCCTTCACTAGTGTTTTGCTTTTGACCACCACCTCCTTCAGTCCTCCCTTTTATATCCCTTTCCCTTTTCTTCCCCTTTACTCTTACTTTCTTCCTCCCTTTTTCCCCTCCTTTTCTTTCCTCTTCCTTTTCTTTCCCCTTTTCTCCTACTGCCTATAGGGCAAGTTAGTTTCTAACCTAACTGCTATTTATGCCCTTCTTGAGCCAATCTGATGAGAGTAAGGTTCAAACAATGCTCCCCCTCCCTTCTTTCCCTCTGCTGTAATAGGATTTTGTGTTTTCCTGTAATGTAATTTCCTTGTCTGCCTCCTCCTTTCTCAGTACATTTTCTAAGATCAGATTGATCCACTTATTTGGATCCATTTAACCCACTTGATTAGATTTTTTTTTATCATTACATCAAAGTCAACTAATATCCACCCTCTTTATGTATACTCCTTTAACAAGGTGTAATAACAATACAGTTCTCAAGGGTTGCAAGTCTCATATTCCCTTTAGGGGTTTAAACAGCCCCCCCATTAACAACATATTGTATCCTTCTGTCCCATTTACTTTTTAAGTCCTTCTTGAGTCCTGTACTTGAAGATCAAATTTTTGTTGAGCTCTGGTCTTTTTATCAGGAAAGTTTGGAAGTCTCCTATTTCATGAATATCCACCTTCTCCCTTGAAAAATGATGCTCATTTTTGCTGGGTAATTGATCCTTGGCTTCATTTCAAGCTCCTTTGCCTTATGGAATATCATGCTCCATGCCCTGCGGTCTTTTAATGTAGAAGCTGCAAGGTCCTGTGTAATCCTGACTTTGGTTCCATGATGTTTAAATTATTTCTTTCTGGCTGCTTGCAGCACCTTCTCTTTCATCTGGTAATTTGGAATTTTGCTATTATATTCCTTGGCGTTGTCAATTTGGGATCTTTCAGGTGTGATCGGTGGATTCTTTCTATGGTTATTTTCCCTTCTGGTTCTAGGACTTCCAGGCAATTTTCCTTTATGATTTCCTGAAAGATACTGTCCAGGCTCTTTTTTTCATCATGATTTTCAGGTAGTCCAATAATTTTTAAATTGTCTCTCCTGAGTCGATTTTCCAGGTCGGTTGTTTTACTGATGAGGTATTTTATGTTTTCATCTATTTTTTCATTTTTTTGTTTCTGTTTGACTGATTCTTGCTCTCTCATAGAGACATTAGTTTCCATTTGTCCAATTCTAGTTTTCAACAGATAGCTTTCTTCTGTTAGTTTTTGTACTTCCTTCTTCTGTTAGTTTTTGTACTTCCTTCTTCAATTGGCCAATTGTGTTTTTTAGGGACTTGTTTTCTTCAGTGTACTCTTCTGTTAGTTTTGTACTTCCTTCTTCAACTGGCCAATTGTATTTTTAAGGGATTTGTTCTTTTCAGTGTACTTTTTTTTCCAGTTTGCCAATTGTGTTTTTTAGAGACTTGTTTTCTTCAGTGTACTTTTTTTTCCCAATTGGCCAATTGTATTTTTGAAGGACTCTTCTACCTCTCTAATTTGACTATTAAAATCCTTCTTGAGCTCTTCTAAGAAGGCTTTTTGGGCTTCAGACCAGTTCATATTCCCTTTTGTTATTGCAGATGTGGGTTTGTTGACAATGCTGTACTCTTCAGAATTTCTGTCTTGATCTTCACTCTTCTCATAATATGAATCTATGGTACATTTCTTTTTACTCATGGTGTTTCTTTATTCCCTGGCCTTTAAACAGATTGAGCTCTCCTGCTGTGGAATAGAGGGTACTGACCCAAGCTCCTTGTGTTGGGAGCCTAGGTCTTGGTCACTGGCTTTGTGTGCTGGGGCCTCTTATGTTGGCAATTGGAGGCTGTAGGTTTCTGGCAGCTTACCTCGTGTTGGGCTGGAATCAGCAAGGCTGGAACTTTCAGGCAATTCTAGGTTGCCTGCTTTTCCTTTCCTTTAGCTTTCTTCAGCTCCTTTTAGATGGCTGCTGCAGGGTGTTTATCTGCCTGGGCCTCCCCCCCCCCCCCGCAGTGTTGTCTCTCTCCTTTCTGCTAATGTGCTGGGAGATTCCTTTGTGGTAGAGTGCTGAGGCACCTGGTGGTTTTCTGAGCTGGTTTCCACCGGTCCTCCCACCAGTCCTCCCCCCTCTCCTCCCCCACTGAGGCACTCGGAGGTCCAGGTGTTGGTGTTTGCCCGTTCTGCCATCTGGGCTTCAGGATTTCTTCATAATTGGAGGCTGCAGGGCTTTGACAGCTCACCTGTTGTTGGGTTGGAACCAGCAAGGCCGGGGCTTTACAAAGCCTTTAGGTTGTCTTCTTCACCTCCTTTCAGATGAATGCCACAGGGTACTTATCCGCCTGGGGCCTCCCTTATTTTTGCTGAGGCACTGAGAGACCCATTTGCTAGGCTGCTGCACTGCTGCTCCCTGTCTTTCTTCTACTTCAGGTGTTCCAGGGTTTTTTTCTGGGGCAATATTTTCTGGGTTTTCAGAGGCTGATAGGGGAGAGTAAGAGTGACTACCTTTTCACTCCACCACCTTGACTCCCGGAAGCGGAACTCCTAACTTCATCATTTCAGAGATGTCAACATGCCCCTAAACTGAAAAGCAGAGTTAGGAATAACTCTCAGAAAATTGGCATTTCCCAACCATTTCAGATCACTGGATTTGTTGCACAGATGTTGACACAAAATTGGCTGTTGTATTGTATCACCAATACATCTTGTATTAGTTGGCCCCCTCTCTAAGGCAACTAATAATTAAGCAAAGTTCTGGTTAGAACAATTGAATGTTACAGAGCAGAAGAAACCCCTGGAGGGTAACAGACGCTTCCCAACTAATCAGGTTCAAAGTCTTAGAAACATAAGAGTGAAGTCAACGTTTCTTCTCAAGCAGACTAATAAAAACTAATAAAACGTTCATTCTTTCAGTGCTTACCAGCATTGCCCTGGGGAAAAAAAAAATGTTCCTGGTGCATTTAACCATCCAATCACAAAATCCCAGCAGTTCTTGCCTTCTATTTTTAAAACTCAATTTCTTATTTACAGATACTTGTTTCCTCTACTGTGATAGCAATAGCTAAGTACCATCCCTGGACACAAGGAACTCTTGGCAAAATTGGGAAATTGGCAATGCAAGTTTTGACATTCCCCACTGATTCTCTTTCTGTTCTCACCGTTCTTTCCCCTGCGCTCCTGACACACCCACACACCCACATTCTATCCCAGGATGTTATGCTGCTTGTAATATTTGTCCCGAGGATCCCAAATTTGCCAGATTATAAAAGGCTAAGAAATAAAGTGAGCTCTGAGAGGGATTTCTGTGGCTGATGAGGACAACATCAGGTAAGAATATCATAAAGATCCCTCCATTTCAGCATGTAGTCTTTGGATAAATTTCCCTTGGCAAGATCTTCCTAGGGCAATATGTTAAAAGATATATATCTTTTTGCTTTCCAATCCCACAAGCATAAAAGGCTTGTCAATGTACTTTCAGCTACCAATGAAGAGAACCCAACATCTTTTACAAAAAGATCATAAAGCTCATATTCCTTCTGAGTGGTATCAAAATCTTCTTCCACAATTCAAAATTAAAAGGCTTGTAAAGGAAATAAAAGGCTGTGCCTTTCAAGGTCATAAGTAAAGCATGTCTATTCCTATACTGGCGACCTTATTAGCTACCGGCTGAATATATTTGGCAATAAACTTGTTCATATTTCTTTGATGAGAGAAATGAATTTCCTGCTGGTTACATTTTATGTTAAATAAAGACATAATTCTCTGTTTCACCTTTTCTCCTGTTATCAAACTATTCCCCATTTGATTACATACCATTCTGAGTTATTATTTAGTAATCATCAATTCTGGATATTTACTTTACAGCTACAGTACATACAATAACAATATTCTGATTGTAATTTTATCTTTATGTCTTTTGTTGGCATATCAACAAGGGAAAAATTATGGATTTCATTAAACCACAATACAGTGATATAAGAATAAAACAAGATGAGAAAATTTTTTATTCTATCGAAAACATTTACTGCCAGTCTAAATACAAAAATGTAAAAAATAAAGTTCTTTGGAAAGTATAAATAGCACAGAATCATCACTTTAGACTTGTAAAATACAGCCCTGAAGTTACATTAATCAATTGCCATATTTTTCTTATTGCAAAATGATCCAAATGCCCACATTTTGACATAACATATCAGCAACTAAAAGGACATTTTTCTTTCCAAATATGTTTGATTTGCTGTATAATTTGCTAGTTTTTGACATACATTTCTACTCTTGTTGACTTTTTTAAATTATTTGTTAAATGAATGGTAAAAATGCAAAGTACTACATGAATTGCTACATTGCTTTAAAAGAAAGGAAAACATTGCAGACGAAAACAAAAATCTATATATAGCATAGTTTCTACGTAACAACCTGTATTTTAAAAATGTAATAATATCTAGCATTTGCATGGTGTTAAAAGAAATCTTGGTTAGGACCTCACCCTAGTCAATGAGGCAAACTCAGGAAAAAAGACAAAAGTATTATTATTAATATTAGTATTTATTAGCATACCACAGCTGTGGCAGGCACCAATTTTAAACTAAAGGTTTTATAGATAGAAATAAATGACTTCCATGTAAGAGTAAGAAAATGCTGATTGGTACATGTATGCTGAGGAGATAGGTATGGTTTTTTTTTAATGCTACCTCAGCTTTTTCCCATGTTGAAATATGCACACCCAAGGGCATCTCCAGACCCCCACAGACCAATTGGGCATGTATCCAAAGGTCAAGAGAGATTATAACATGAGTCACTTAGGCTACCTTTGCAAAAGTTCACCTTTGGTGCAAATCATACTCATGGTGCAGCCCCATAATTGGATCTATATCACTCCTCTGTCCCCAACTCCATCATCTTAATCTCAAATGCTAGTAATTTTGGGGTTTGCCTTGGGAGTACTTCCTTAATACAGGGTAGATGCTGTAAGCACACACAGCAAATGATACTTACAAGGAAAACCTATAGAAAACCTACAAACAAATATGTTAGCCATGAAAAATTGGGGAGCCATGATGTTAGCCTCTTCCATGGAGACCATGGTGCCTTCTTATCTGCCTAGAATTTATTCCAGACTTTCCAAACCCAGTCCAAGTGGGTATGAATGCTGTTGAAATCATCAGAAACCCAGGTGCATCACCTTTGACAGCACATACACCTCCTCTCTCTGCCAGGAGGAAGTGTAGAGCTACTCTATTTTGTAAGGCCATGGCCCTAAGTGCATGCACCTCAGTATTAAGCTCCTCCACAGCATCTATGATCTCACTGAAAGATTTGCAAAAATCTGTTCATTCTGTTTAGGAAAGTAATGCTACAGGCAGTGCTGTACATCGGGAATACAGTTACAAAGATACTCTCTGTGTCTCCTACTAGAGGTGGAATTAGTGACCAAAAGCAAGTATGCTTATGCTCAGAGGTATGATAGCTGTGGGTTGATGGCCAAAGAGAATTCAACCTGTCCCTCAGCATCCCTGCCAATTTGGGGGAAAACAATAATGTGCCTTGTTAACTGCACAAAAAATAAAGTCTTTGAGGGGCTATCCTAAAGAGTCCCTCAGTGATACAAAATCCCAGAGTAGTAAACATTATCTAAAGTTCCCTTGTCTCCCCAATAGTCACATTCTTATGTAATCCCATGGCATAGTTACATCCTGTCTACTACACCATTGCCTGACTACCTGTCCCATTTTGCTCATAATACAGCAGAGGTGGTCTTACAGCACAGAGCAATCATAGAGGGGGTGAGTGTTGAGATGTTTGTAACCCTTTTCCAATCATATGTGACGAGCTGGGAGGGCTCATTTTTCCAGCGTAGGGCAGTAACATTAAGTGTGTATTTTCTGCTTTCAGGATTGAGTGTGAACCTATAATCACAATGGTCCTGGATATCATGCCTCACACCCACCCTGTATCCTTTCCTCTAAGATTAAATGGGCATGGGTTAATATCCAACAATTAATCCAATTAAAGGCGTACCTGGAATTTTGGATCAAGTTCATATAAGTATTGGGTTCCTCTGTTTTCCCAAAGCCAAGTGCTCAAAACAGGACAGAAAGCACAGAAAACAAATGCATGATAGGTAACAGGTGAGAAATAAGGTCCCAGTTATCAGAGGAGAACAAACAACCAGCCAAGGACCACTGGTTGGTGTCAGGGTGCCTTTGCAGCTTAACCTGTCTACTGGCCTCTCAGGGTCTGCTTCTTTGGCTGAACTGAAATCAATCCCAGCAGGCCTCACACAGAGTGATGTACGGTGATGTAGCCAGGTCATCCATCTGGCAATCTTGATGGCAGTAAGACTAGTCAGCAGGATCTGGAAAAGTCCATTCCATGAGGGCTGAAGACTAAACATCTTCCTGATGTTTGGGTATCTACAAGTAGTCACCTGGCTCGAATGGATGCCCTGACTCTTCCAAAGGCAGAATTTGTGTCAAAGTTGCCTCCTTCCAGACCTGGGAAAGAAAACTAGACAGGGAGATCACATAACTTATCAGGCTTTCATCTCCTGTGGTCAGGCTCAGGCTTTGAGGGTCCAGTCCCCAAGTAGTATTAGGTGGCATTAGGTGGCACAGGTGAACAGAATTGCAAAAGGTGACAATCCACATTCCTGACACTATGATTTCTAGGGAAGTGCTTGAGCCATTTTAACTATATTTCCTGGCATAGTTTTCCCAAAAGGGTCTTAACTTCCCCATTTAGCTGTTCAACTCTCCCTGATAATGGTGGGTAAGAGGGGTGTGCAGGCTCAGGGTTATCCTAAAACACTTGGAGAATTGGTTATTTCTGCAGTAAAGTATGGCCTTCGGTCACAGTCAATAGTACGTGGCAAGCTGAATCTTGGTCTACGATGAGGACCCAACTTCTGGATAAGGATTCCCAAGGCAACGCTTTTCCATTTGTGCACAAAAAGGAAAAAGGCCTTGTCATAACTGAGCAGTCCCAGAGCTGGTGAGGAGGCCATCATCTGCTTCACTCACTTAATTACTTCCTTCAAGGCCTCTGAGGGTATGAACGACTCAGGGGTTTCTTATCTGTACAAGCTACTAGTACCTTGGTGAATTACCTAAGTGCTGGAATCCTGCCTCCTCCCATCATTGCAAATAATCATCCCCAGTACCCAAAGCAGGGTGCAGACGGTTTGGTGTCCACAGAGGATGCAGGCACCAAGGCGACAGTGCGGGGGGGGGGGTCCACATGGCAGCTGGTTCTTAATGGGGGCTGCCTTTCGATAACTTGGAGGATGTCGCCCTCTCTAGGAGGCCTCCTCCCCAGTCATACTGTCTGCAATCTCTCTTAAAGTGCCCCTCCCTTTTCACAGTAAAAACATGCTGTTCCCTCGCTCTGGCTTTCTAAAATCCCTTTCTGATCCTTAGTCCCTTCTCTTCTGTCTTCCTGCATCAATTTAATCTTGTTTTCCTTTCTCTTTCTTAAGTTCCTTCTCTTGCCACCCTTCAAAAGCATATGACACAATTCCCATGAGTTCACTAATAGTTTTCCCACTCCAGCCAGGGCAGAATTTATGAAAGTAATTACAAATGTCTGCTGCTGACCAATTAACATAAGCTGAAGCAATTGCTTTTAGCTCACATTCATTTTCTGGATCCAACTGGACAAATTTCTGGGTGGCAGCACTCAAACAAATATAGAAAGCACTGGGATGTTCATCTAAATTTTGAATAATGGCATTTTTGAATTTGAATGTGAATTCTGAATTTTAAAAATGGAATTTTTCCCAATTTATTGGTTGTTGTGCTGCCTGCCCTAGAACATCAAAGAGGGTCGTTTTTGCATCGCTGAACCTTCCCCAGTCTCCCGTCATTATTATAATTCCAATGAGGAACCATTGTGGGCCAAGTGGTCCTGTTATGTTCCACCTCTGACTTTACAGCACAGGACAGGCCTTTTGCCCTCTTATCCTTTGTGAGAAGGGCATCTCATAATTCCTCAATATCCTCTCAAAGGGTATTGCAGCTCCTTATAATGGTCTTAACTTTATTAATGACATTGGCAGGGTGAAGTGGATTGCTGCCACCATACAACATTTCCCGGTGGAAAGGGGGACGTGTACTCTCTCCTCCAAAAGCGGTCCTTATGGGTGCTACCGGAGAAATCCATATTGTATGGTGGTGGTCTGGTGCTTTAGACCAGCACCTCTAATGGACATAGTAATGAAGGGAAGTTTCAGACCGAAAGTACTGCCTAACAGTATCAATAATCCATTTGCCTAGGCTCTACATCTTCAAGTCTGATTTTTAGCATGCACCATTGACCATCAAAGCTCTCATATTTATCTGGCCAAGTCTGTTTCCCACAATTATCTAAGTACCAAGTTTAATTTAAGGTGAGCTTTACCACTCAAGTTTTGGACATTCTCAGTTGAACTGGCAGTTTTTTCTTGTTTCAAGCTTTTAACAGCTTACCTAATAGGAAGTCGGTAGCAGGCTTACTCTGTCCTAATCTCAAAATGATATCAGTATACCTTGACCATTCTGTCTCTTGGCAACCTAATGTCAGGTCAAGATCAATTATTCACCATTGCCTTGCCCAAATGTGACAGCCACTCCCCATATCTTCATGCACAATGAGAGGACTAAATTTTGGGCTTGGGACCACTTTCTCTTTTTCCAATCACTTTACGGATGACTGATCACTGGGAGTACTCCCCACCTGCAACTGAACAAAAGTGTCCAAGTGCCAGCTGCTGAATCAAACAGTAGACTCACTCAGCAACAGTCACGCAAGCAAAAGGTCCCTTCATGGTGGTCACCAAAACCGTTAAAAGGAAATCTTGCTTCAGACCTCACCTTGATCAATAAGGCAAATTCACGAAAAAAGGCAAAAGTATTTTATTAGCACACCAAGTCAGCAAGCAGTTGGAATGCGACTGGCAACGATTTCAAACCAACAGAGTTTGTATAGATAAGAGTAAATTACTTTCATATAAGGGCAAGGAGATGCTGATTGCTACACATATGATGAGGAGATAGGGCTTGTTTTTTATGCCACCTCAGCTTTTCCCCGCATCCAAATCCAGACTGTCATTCTCCACAGACTGGTTGTGTGTGTGTGTACCCAAAGGTCAAGTCAGGTTAAAACATGAGTCACTTGGGCCAGCTCTGCATAATGGCACTCTGTTTTTTAAGTATTTTCATAGAGAGTATCTCATCTGGCTTACAAGACAATGCCAATATCATGAATAACAGCCTGAAATATCAGTCATTATTGGAATGATCAGATTTTCTAGGTTGTTCCAATGATGTCATCATTGACAGAACCAAGCATCCTAACCTCCCCAGGCCTTAATCACCAGTCATGACATATATAACAGGATATCAAGCCTCAGACAATGTTAGAGCTTGGTGAAAGATGACTTCTGAATATTAAATAAAGAAGAGCCTCTTTATAATACTGGTGTTACAGGACAAGGCTAGTACCCTCATTAAAGGCTTCTCACATTACAAAAAGTTACACAAATATATCCTTGTGTCCATTTGATTTGATAACCAAACACAAATAATAGTGGGATGCTTTGTATTGCATACAGGTTGTACTATATTGCATTATTTTCATTTCTGCCAGTAACAAAATCAAAATCAACAAAATAATGCCAACAATGACAGATTTACATAGCTTATATCTACACATGTGAAAATGATCCCATTCTACATAAAAATTATTGCTTTTGTTAGGTAAGAACACTTCTTGAATAAATAAATCAGAGCTAGGAGTAAAGAAGGCCTGTGTACTTCATTGAATCAAGCAAAAGTACTAGGTGAGAGATGAGATCACCAGCTAAGGAAGATGCATAAAATGAAGAAGTACCTTAGAACCTTAGAGAACGGTGAAGGTCTGATGGTGTAGAAGGAGTAAGAGCACCCACTGATGAGCCAGAAAGAACAGGCAATTAGAGCGGCAGGCAGGGAAAGGGGAATCAGACAGTAGGCCTGAATTGCTGCAGAAAAGGGAGATGCTGAGGAGGGTCATTGGCTTTACAAGCCTCACAGAGCACAAGACTTGGGATGATGTGCCACCAAAGATACCCACCTACTCAAGGACCACAGGAAGTCCCAAGGAGAGGTCTTCTTTTCTTCCTCGATGTCTTTAGTATATGGGTAGGACACCGCTGATCATACTACCCACTGAAAAGTAATTATCTTCATTAAATAAGAACACCTTTGATAGAATCAAACAATCTGAACCAAGTGGGGGGGGGGAACCTAGTACACCTCCATGAAGCTATCAAAGCAATTGTTTGAAAGGTTGGATCAGAACCCTAAATAATTTGCATAAAGAAACTATCTCAGAACCAGGGGTAGGGATTCCGAGGGTCTCACTTTGAAAGAAGACAGCAAGAATGACACTCAGTATGCCTCTGAAAAGTAAAAGTAGGGCTGAACTGCACAGAAAAGGGAGATATTGAAGAGGATATGGATCTACAAGCATCTTGAAGCAGGAGATCCAATCTTAGGAAAATCCCAAGAAAATTCATTGTTGGCTCTTTCCCCAACTTCCCTTTCTGGTGCCTATCTACCTACAGATATTGTAATGTCATGTTCATTAGTCAAACAGTCCCAGTAAAATGAATTTTGCCTCAACCACAAAGAAGCCAGGGTTAAATAGAGATCAATATAGATATAAGTTAAGCAAACAGCCCAACTTCTGCCTGATGATTGGGAATTTTCCCAAATAGGGGTTTACAGCAATTGTGTCTGAAACCAACACTTTTTGTCTGAGAAGAGAGCTACTTGGACTTGAGGTATCATTACACTGCCCTAAGTTTGAAATGAGCTCATTGTGATAGTGTGTTACACCAATCTATCCACAGACACTATGATGTAATCTCTGCTTTATTACCTAAACATTTCCAGGTTTTGTTTTGTTTTTTTTTTTTTTGCCTCAGCTACCAAGAGGCCAGGGGTTAACTATATGGATTACATGGATTAATTATGTGGACGTAAATGTAAATTAAGGCATAGAGCCAAACCTCTGCCTAAATGTTGGGAATTTTCCCAACCAAGCACTTGGAGCAAGCACTATGGACCTGTCTTTTCAGCTAGAATAAATTCCCTAAAGCATCCAACAAGGGAACCACACCGATCTGAGGCACAGTCAGATTGCCCTGAGGTTTTCAATGAGTTTATTCTTTTAAGAGGGTATCACACAGAAATAACATATTGTGACCGCTTGCAGCAATCTAATACTGCCCAGTAATGACTTTTTCTACCATACAGTTGCCCTGGTTAAAGAAACAGATTGAAACTATCTACTGTTCTGGATCATTGAAGGACAGGTATGCCAAAGAGACAATGAGATAGGGGTTTTTGGCATGAAGGGAATGGACAAAGGGCTTTGGGCTTGCAACTCTGAAGATTGATTCTATCATCCCGTAAACATCCTCTAATTATTTTATTCTCATATTCTGTAAAATGCTTTCAAAGCCTTTGCCAGTCAGATAAAAACAATTAAACTGAAAAAATTGATATGAACTGAATTTCCTGTTAAGAAACTGCCTTCATTGCAGGCTTCAGAGAGAGAAAAATTGTTTCTTTCACCCTCTTAGCCCAAGGAGACAGATGAAAAATCTTTATATATAGATATAGATATATATACACACACATATAAAATAAACCTTTCTCTTGGCAGAGAGGCAGAGGGCAGTGGGTATAGAACGCAGCATATACTATCAGACTTATTTTGTTGGTCAGTTTTGCTTTACTGTTTTTCTTTGTGGCATGGACGATGTTCAGTTAGGAAGGTGGAGAATATCAGGAAATAATTTTGACATAAAAAACAAATGGTATTAGCAAAAAATGGGGAAAATTTTTAAATTATTACAAGATAAGAGTTTTAAAGGCATTAACCATAGTCTAGGGAGGTATAGATTTAGTACTATCTATCTGATTTTCGCAAAACTCAGAAAAGACTACTTACAAAACCAATTTTTTACTCAAAATTTATAGACAGGGACAATGTTAGCCAAACTTATAACATTCAGTGTTGCTCTTCAAAATGATGACTTTGCAAAATGTATTTTACTCCATAGCAGTTGATATTTTAATAACAAAGGGGACAGCCTAACTGATGGATAAGAAGTACTTGACAGTAGCAGTGGTGAGGGAACATTCACTGATCAAGGTCAAATCACCAACCAAGATTAAAAATTGCATTAATCAAATGAATGGAATTAAAGCAATGAAAGAATCAGAAAAAAAAAGTAGCAAGGAACTGAAGGAGAACAAGCTCTTCACAGGTACAATGTCACAAGCCCCACAGGTGTGAAAATTGCATGATAAAATGTGCAACTGGTTCAATAACAGTCTGAAAAGCAGTACTCTATCTGCTATGCTATAGGAGTATGCCCCTTAATGTGAATACAGAACAGGGACCTAAGAAGGTTATCTCTTACTTTATTCTCTACCTCTACTCCCAGCTTTCCCCCCCTCCCGACTGCTTAATTTCCTTGTGAATCTGTGTAAATGAAAGAAGATAGGGGCGGACAGTAAGTTATGCTCAGTACTCAATAGAGGTTTCCCTGAGGAACAAAAAAAATTTGAGCTGTGGCATTAGCATTTTTGGGAGGGGTTGCAGTTAGCTAAGGTATTTAAAAGAATTAGCAGGTAGAGGCTAGATGTTGGTAATGGCATGGTGTGTGGGTATGGAGGGGTGTAGGGGTGGTTTGTCCTTCATTCTCTGAAGAGGACCAAGACATCAGGAAGATGATGCCATGACTTACAAGTGAATTGGTTTGAAGTGAGGGAGGGCTGTACAAAGTCACCAGCCTCACTCTCTGCTCCAGAGCCATCTAGGAAAGTGGAGTGTGATGGAGGAGGGTAGGTGGTGAGGCCACATAAGATTTCTCTGTAGTCTGGCCTAGGGCATGATTTTTTTCTTGCCACTATAAGCAACTGGTGGTGCCAGTGAGCTAGGCAGACTGAGCTGCCAGCATCCATTGAGCCTGCAGAGCTAACAAATGAACCCCTAAAAACCTCACCCCCTTTCTTCCTTGGGTTCTTCCTTAGGGAATATGGCTTTCTTTTAGATCCTTCCTCACTCATGGCATGATTTTCCTTTGAAACCCAGCTTACCAACATGGCTGATCCCAGGAAAGGACATGCCTGTGCTCTACCCTTTTTCAACCTAGGGCTTCTCGTTCACTAGCTCATATCTCCGGAGGAATCTAGCCGCAATTATTATTGTCTTTCTCTGTCTAACACACTGTGCTCTCAACTAAATACAATCAATCCTCAACATTCTCGAGTTTAACTTCAGGACTTCAAGTATTCCAGTGATTTTATTAGTAAACCTCATTTTCACTTTCACATTGGCAACTGCACACATTGGTGGCTATGCGCAGTAGAGAAAAAAATGAGAGGCCAATTTCTAAAAGTTTATATCCACAAAAAGGAGGAGAGCATTCATAAAAGTGCTCATGAATCTGCTCAAGTGCTGTTGAAGGAATTGAAAAATGGATAAATGGCTAAATTTGTGGGTAAATGAGATGCTGGTCACCCCAGCTCTGTTGGCAGCACAAGTAGCAGCAGAAGTGTCCTGCCTCCCCATTGCAGAACCCAGGTTCTTGAGCCCCAGTGGGTGGGCTTAGGGAGCAGGCAGCCCACTGTGCCTTATCAGGCCATCAGAGAGCCACACCCCATCTGGGAGTTCCAGGTTTTCCAGGGGGACAGTGGGAGGGGGCACTTCAACCACACTAAAAGGGAGATTAGAGATGGCAGGTTGCCCCTTTCATTTTTTTAACTTCAGGTCCTTTCTGACATCCTGCCCGTGGCTCTTCCAATCCCATCCTGCATTGCCTCTCCTCTCCTCTGCACTTTATAGGTTATTTCAAGGTTACTATGTTTTAAAAAATGCCCATTATCAGAATTAATGTTTTGTTATAAAGAATTTTATGCAGAAAAGTGTATTTTCAGCAAGCTCTAGCAAAAGTTTGTGGTGGTCATGCAAACCTAATCCCCTATTCCCATAGGTTCAATATATCAACATTTGTTTTTTAACTTTTGCACCATTTTCTAGGAATGTTATCTCTGCAAGAGTTGAGGAAGGACCGTATACAGCTTGAACTTCCAGCTAGTGTGCAATGAAAAAATCCAAACTGCTTTTATATAACTTCAATATTTTAAATCTTCTCACCTCTGAAGTATCCTCCCTCCCATTTCCAATCTCATCACTAGCATTCAAGTAAGCAAAATTGGCACAGATTCAAATGACCTTCCAGATTTTAATACACTGACATACACACATACCATTGCAATAAATATCTGCAATAAAGGGAACTGAGACACAAGGTTCCAAGCATAATCAATTTATTAGCAAAGTGAGCAATTGCCAATAAAAAGAGATCCAAGACTCCTCAGTAGTCAAGGACGCCTTTGACTTCCCTAAAGCATTAAGTCTGTGTCCTTGTACCTTTCCTCCACTGGAGTTTATGGTAACCCAGCTCACAAAGGAGAAAACCAACTAGAGGGGTCTGGGAAGAGATGGATTCCTTTGTCCAGATTGCTGGAGGTGGCTGAGTGGCATGATCAAGACATGTTCTCAGCAGGAGAAGCTGAAGACTTTTTAGCCCATCTCCTCATTAATATGCCTACCCACCTCCATTAATTATTCATCAATCAGGGTTGATTTTCACCTACCAGAGCGACCCTCTTTTCTAAAAGCAAATTAAGATTGTGGCGTCCTGATTGAGAAAAAGCCTAAGAAGTGAAAAGCCATAAAAACTTAAACTCTGTGAAAGGTGGAAGCCTGAACATGGTGCTCTATTAGAAATCATAATTTAGATACCAAATCATAATTTAGAGACTGAGTCAAAACTTAGATATTATGACCTATGAAAGCCATGACAAGAATAGTGTGATCCATATGTGACCAGTACATGATCAGTACACAAACTTGGGCATAACATTGGCTTAACTCCCCAACTCATGACTAAGTAGAAAACTAAAAACATCCACCACTCAGTGTTACTGATTCTCTAGCTTCTTCTCCCTTTGTTTTCCATAATTATCACGGGGATGTGGGGGTTCTTTTGAATGTTCTGGCAGCTGCCCTTGATTGCCCTTGTTTTGTGAGTATTCGTAATGATTGCTGAAACTACTCCCTATAATCAGCCTGGAGCTCCTTGGCCTTTTCCTTTGGTACCAAAAAGAACAGCCCACGGTTACGGGGGAGGCACAAAGTGCTCCAGCCAGAGGAATTCCAGACCTTACAAAGGTATTCAGTATCTCCATTAGGTATCTTTGGTTACTGAGACAGACCACTGACCATCAATTTATTGATTATCAGCTAACCTAATTAACAAATTATTAATTATCCGGAAATTCTGTCTCTCAAGTTTTTTCATTCATCACAGCACATCATTTTTACAACACAAGATCATGAATCTGACCACAAGCAAGTGACTAGGGAAAGAACTGTGGAACAGAGGTAGGCCAGCAATGCAGTTACTCTGACCCCAGAGTGAAATTCCCCAGGCTCAGACAGTGACTCTGCTCCTCTGGCTCAGAGCAGAGTCAGGGAAGAAAGTATCATCTCTTGGCTATAATCAGTATCAAAGAATTCAGTCCTTGATGTCAAAGCAGGGCTATACCCACAGCACTTCATACCCAGAGCAGCTTCATAGCAACTGCAGAGCCATCCAGGTAGCTAACAGAGGAAGGAGGCCAGAAACTGTCTACCATAACTCCAACCAGGAACAAGTGTGCAGGCATGTAGCCTAAGCACAAACCAGGATCCAGAGCCTGGCAAGTCCAAGAGAACAATGATTAGACAACTTAGGATCTGCTAACAGCTGGTAGCTCAGTGGCCTGAGCTGCTTCTGTGATCCTCAAAGAATACAGTACTCAATATCTAGAAAAAGCACCATCAAGATCACAAAGAATACAAATCAGAATCAAATAAGAAAGATGTGCATAAAGCTTGGCCCTAATACAAAAGACCCAAACCAAGAATTTAGGCTGGATGACTGGGAAAAGAAAAAAGACTCCCACAAAAAAAATCTGGCATAATGCAAGGGACACCCAACACACAAACCTAGAAGAAATGACTAATTCCAAAACACCCACAGGCAAAACCTCAAAGAAAAACACAAGGCTACAAGGACAATGAGAATTCATAGAAGAAATGTAACAATATTTTTAAAATAATTTTTCAATGATATTTTAAAGTAAATGAGAGCATTCATTAGAAAAGAAATGAGAGTTCAGGAGGAGAGACTTGGAAGGAGAATTTATGGCTTAACACAAGGAAAAACCTTGAAAATCAAAATGGATAAAACAGAAGTTAGTTTCTTTGCAAAAAAAAAAAGAAATATTAAAAATAAAGTAAAACAATTGAAAAATAGAAGGAAATATAAAGTTTCTCTTATCAAAACCAAATAACTTGAAAAATAAGAAAATATAATTTAAAAAACATGGGACTACCTGAAAGGCCTGACCAGAAAAGAGAGACCAGATATATTTCAAGAAATCACGAAAGAAAACTACCCAGCTATATTAGAACAAGAAAGAAACCTCAAAATGAAAACTCCGAGGAATAACACAACCAGCACCCAGAGCTTCCACATCAAAGAAAAAAAACCTGCAAGCATTCCTATAGAAAGAATTTAAGTACCAAGTCAGGATCACAGGAGATTTAATAGCAGAGAGCATGAACTACTCTCTTTGAAATGGTAAAAGACACAAGCTTACAACCAATAATAACTTACCCAGAAAAAAACTGAGTATAATTCTATAAGAGGGAAAATTTAACCTATACTGAAACAGAAGATTTCTGAGTATTACTAATGCAAAGACCAGAGCTGAGGAAAAATTCAAAATACAAATACAGAAATCAAGAGAAAAATGAAAGGGTAAATGTGAGCAAGCAAGTGGGAGGAATTGCATAAGGACAATTAGAGGGAAATGACACAAGTTTCCCTTCAGAATCCTAAAGTCCTCAGGAGTCCTAGAGGGAGTTAACTAAGACAGAGGGCCTTGAGTGAGACAATGTAAACAGTGTGAGATCTCTCAGATGGACTGAGTATAACAGTTTTGCAGACTGTTACAAACTCAAGGTTGGTTATGCTAGCCTGAATACGCCCAAATTTCAAGTTCCTAAAAAACACATGATCTGTACCATTACATCAGTATTAGGTAATGGCTAATGCTAAATAAGGATAAAATAGCTAGGATTGGTAGTATTACAATGAGATTCCTTGTTTCTGGGGTAGATTTTCACGTTTTAGATTGTAAGGCTGAAATTCCAGTGGTGGGTGTCTCTGCGTTAGGACTATATAACCTTTGTTCTGACCTTTGTGCCTCACCTCGCTTTGCTCAGACTGCCGGAGGAAGCAGACGCCTGCTTCTCACGAGAATGTAATAAATCTTTCACTTTATACCTGAAAATCTCCGAGTGTTATTTTTGGGTAACTGTAGCACACAGCCTGAACATTGCTTTGCTATGTGTTGATGATCTTACAAGAAGAAAAGAAAGCAGGGAAACGTTACAAGTGTGTATGTAAGGTGATATGGATTTGGTTTTCTTTCATAGATACTAGTTCCCAGGATCATGGCCTATACACAATTGCACTGCGCTTGCATATCATTATATAACCACAAATAATATAAACATTTGAGCTTAACTTGTAAACAGTACACTGCACCTGTGCTATGCTGACTCACCATGATACAGCTAAAGTTAATGTAAACTTATGAACCTACTGCTGGCAAAATGCCTTCTTTGTTTCTCTATAAATCAAGTGAGCACTGGCTCAGCAGCATAGGTAATTTCCTCACTTCCTTCTCATCCCAGCCAGGAGAAGAATAAACTGGTATGCATCCCTTATCTGTTGCTCCATCGCCCTTTTTTGATTTGGCTAAATCTAATGTGGACCTGCCAGGAGCAGAGCTGCTTTGTTACAAGGAGGTAAGAAAAAGGGTGGAAGGATGGAAGTACTTACTATCTCCTATAATTGGGAAGTGTAAATAGAAAACTATCCAAACAAGGAGGAAGGGGTGAGGGAACCTCACTTTCATCTTAACTGGTCAAAGGAGGATAGAGTTCACACATAGTCATAAGCAGAACAACTCTAAGTTTGTAAGTGGAATGGTGAAGAGGAATTTAAAAGGAAAGAAATAAGGGTAAAGGGAAGATGGGGACAAAGAGGGGAAAATGTAGAAGGGCAGATAAAGAAAAATACAATTAGTTACTATAAATGTGATTGTGAATTGGATGAACTCACCCTTAAAATAAAACAGGAAAATGGATTAAAGAAAAATTCAAGAACATCTTGTTTATCAGAAACACACATCAAACAGACTTGAACTCATAAACAGGTGCATTCATATACTGTTGGTAGAACAGTGAATTGGTCCAGTCATTCAAGAAAGAAATTTGGAGCTATGCACAAAAGTCACTAAACTGTGCATATACTGGATCAGCCATATATAGTATAGAAGCAAACCCTAAGATACACTATCCTGTGCAAACTCTTTGGCCCAGACATACCATTACAAAGCATGGAAAAAGAGGTCAATGACAAAGGGAAAAGACCCATATGTACAAAAATATTTATTATAGCTCTTTTTTGTGGTGGCAAAGAACTGGAAACAAAGTTGTTGCCCATATGTCAGTCTACTAGCATTTATTAAATGCCTACTAGGTGCCAGGCACTGTGCTAAGCCATCAGCTAGTGAACAGTTGAACAAATTATGATATATCAATATAATTAAATATTCTTGCATCATAGGAAATTACCAGAGGGATAAATTCAAAGAAACCTGGGAAGACTACTTACTGGTTTACTTAGCTGGTAAAGATACAGTTGTCAAACACTGAACAAGGACACCCAATGCAAGACTGGATCCAATAATAGTTGCAGTCAACAGACAGCCTCCTTGCCATTCTCTGCTCCCCCAAAGTGAGGCTCCTTCTCAGTCCAATCTCCTAGCATCCAGGACAAGGTGAGGGTCTCTGTCCTCAAACACTGGGGATGCCTGAAGGTTGCTCAGGCAAGACAGAGTCTATGGAACTTGAGACATGTCTATTTCACATGTTCCAACTTTTTTTTCCTGACTTTCCCCCCCTATTTCAAAGCCTTGTTTATTTGTTTATTTTCTCCTTCTCTTGTTTATTTTCTCCCTCCCTACCATGCCTACTATTATCAGAGTACATCTCTATGTGCAGCAATCAGGACTCAGTGAAGATTACAGCAGAGCCTGGCCAAAGCCCACCATACTAGACAACAGTTTGTGTGAAAAAAGACCTGGGTTTTGAGTAGATTGCAAGATCCAGATGAATCAATATATGTGACCTGGCACTCAATATAAACTAATAAAATTTGAGGTTGCATTAATATAGTATCCAGAGTGAGGAAGGTGAAAGTCCTTCTGTACTTTACCCTGGTTAGATCACAGATGGGGTAGTGTTATGATCAGTTCTAGGGCACTATAATTTAGGAAGGTCATAGATAAGCTAGAAAACATTCAGTGAAGGGCAACCAAAATGGTGAACCATGCCATCAGAAAAGCATTTGAAGAAACTGAGAGCGTTTACCTGAAGAAGAGAAGATTTAAGAAAGACATGAAAGCTGTCACCAAGTACTTGAGAAACTGTTAGGGGGAGAAGGGATTTGACTGTTCTGTTTGGCTCCAGGAAGCATGACTTCAGGCAATAGGTAGAATGTGCAGAAAGACTACTTTCTGATTTTCAATAGGAAAGGAAAAAAAAACTATTTCATAATTAGAGCTGTCCAAAAATGGAATGGGCTGTCTGAAGCTAGTGGAGTCCCCATTACTAGAAGTCTTCCAAAGGTTCACAGGATTTGGTCCTGAAAAGGACCTTAAAGATCATCTGCTCCAATTCCCTCATTTTGCAAATGGAGAAACCTTGAGGCTCAGTAAGAGAAAGTCATTGGCCACCAGTTGGGCGGCAGAGTTGGAAGTCCAATGCTGGTGGTCAGATTTCAGGCCTCCTGCCACTGCATACTTGTCAGGGATACCTTCAGTGGGATTCTTGTCCAGATGTCATTTGGGCCCATATGGTCTCTAAAATCCCTTCAAACTCTAAGGTTCTGTTCAAATTAATTTCCTACTTTACTTTTAAAAAAATACACAAACCAATAAAATGAAGAAGGTCATAAATCGATGTGGAGAGAAGAAACTAAGTGTCCCAAAATAGAATTTCATTTTTAAGAGCAAAATGTGAACTACTTTTATGCAATTACATCAAAAGAGGCAAAAAGCCTATTTATAGACTGAGACCTGACAGGTAAGAAAAGTTACTTTTCTACTCTTTCCTATTCCTCAGCAAATCATTTTCCCTAAGCAAGCCAGTTATCTGCAGTGTTGCTTTATCATTGTTCTCAAAGCTTTAATCAGCTTTGACAGACACAGAAACAATAAATGAAAGGGAATCTGTGTTCTCTGATTTCAGAAAATATTTATAATGAGTAAACTGTCAAAAGCAAATGTCTTAATTTCAACCCCATCACTCATTTCTTAAAGCTCTCTAAGTATACCAAGTTTAAACTGATTGTAATTGGTTTAAAGCCCCAGCTACCTCATATGCCACACATTCAGCAAGCAAAATGGTAAGGTGGGCATAAGATCACACAGTGACCCTCTCCAATATCACCCCTGTAAATTCTCAACATGAGAGGTGATATATGAGTGAAACAGGGTGGAGAGAAGGGCAGCTGTGAGGAGAAAGCATGAGGCAGCTAGGTGGCACTGGGCCTAGAATCAGGAAAACAAGTTCAAATCTAGCTTTAGATACTTACTAGCTGTGTGACCCTAGACAAGTCACTTAGTCTTTGTCTGCCTCAGTTTCTCCAACTGTAAAATAGCACCTACATTCCAGGATTATTGGGAGAATTCAATGAGATAATTTACAGCACTTAGCACAATGACTAGAGACATAGCAGGTGCTTAATAAATGCTTGTTCTCTTCCTTCCTGTGCATCCTATTAATAAAACAAGGAGAGGAGTAGGATGCAGAGATCTTATTCTTCCTCCCATCCCAGCCCTCCAAAAAACCTTGCCTCTCAAAGCCCCAAAATTTCATGACGGTAACTGGCACGTCTCCTAATACTAGCATCCATGGCACAGAATAACATTTTTTTTAATTTTGTTTTTTGATCAGAGACACAGAGCTCATATGAAGAAAAAAACCCATAAGATCACAGATTTACAGCTGAAAAGGACCTCAAATATTGTCTAATCCAACCCCCTCATTTTACAGACAAGGAAACTGAGGCCTGCAGAGATAATATGACTTGGCCCAAGGTCACACAGGCAGTAATTGGCAGAACCCAAATTCAAATCCAGGTCCTCTTGTCTCTAAGCACTGAGCTCAGACACTTACTTGAGGGAATAAGGACAGACAGATACTAGAGTGATGTTAGTGCATCACCTTTCTAAGAACATCTGGGTCCTTTCTCTTTTTGCATACCAGTCACCTGAAAACCCTGAAGCTCAATCAGAGTTCTTCCTGTCTCTTCCTCCAGCCCAATTAGTCAATCAGAAGGATAAAACTGGAAGAAAAACAGGTGAATCAGCCTATGCCTAAATAACTACTACAAAAAGATTCCTGAGGGCACTCATTAAAACTCTATCTGTGGTTAACTTCTCCTAAGATAATTCAAGGTGAATCGCAGAATTGGAGAAAGGGAAGGGACCTCAGAAGTCATGTAGTCCAATCACATGTAAATGGAATCTCCACTAAAACGTGTCAACCAAGTGGCCATCCAACCTATGCTTCAAATCTTCCAAGGATGGGAACCCACCACTCTAAGTCCTTTGGGACTACTTACTTACTTACTACTTACTTTGGGGCAGCTCCCCTTATGTTAGGAGGTTCTTCCTTGTATCAAGCCTAAATCTTCCTCTTGGCCATTTCTACCCACTGCTGCTGGTTCTATCCTCTGGGGCCACACAATTATCTAATCAATCCTTCACATCCTTGAAGATGGCCACAATGCCTTGTTTCTTCTCTCTCGTCTCCTCCCCCAGTTTTCTCTAAGCTAAACATGCCCCATTCATTTACCTATGCTGAGAAGGGTGTAATGTTAAAAAGCAGATGGGAGATTGAACAGCCAGGTCAGTATTTTGTTAAATGCCTAAAAATAACTTTCACGTTTGGCTAATGGTGGTTTCTGTTCTTGCCCTAAAGGAAGAAAGAGGGAACCTGTTGTCATTAATCATAACTTGCTGAGTGCCCTCTGTGTGAAAAGCTTTTTTCTAGGCTGAGAAAACCAGCAGCAACAGTAGCATCTTACACATATGTAACTTTCAGGGTTTAAAAAAGTCCTTTCTTTACATCAATCCTGTGATGCAGACAGGGTGTGATAGACCAATGGAGAGCTTATGACCCACTGATCAAATTCACAAAAGACACCTAAGCCAGACAAAGAGTCATAGAAACCCACATTTGGAAGAGAAATCATTCAGCCATTCCCTCATCTCATAGTTGAGAAAACTGATGCCCAGAAGCAAATGGTTCGCCAGAAGTGACACAGCCAGTGAACAGGAGACCTGGGATTCCAGATCTCATGGCACTAAACCAGAACGCTTCCATGAACGAAGGAATAAGTGTTTGGCTGGTAGGAAATACAATCCAAATCAATAAACATTTATTATGCGCTGACCATGTGCCAGACACTGTGCTGAGTGCTGGGGATATAACTGAGGAAAAGAAGGATGGCTCTTGGCCTCAAGGAGTTCACAACCTAATGGGAAGAGACAACTCACAAAAGAAGGTAGAAAAGGGGTGGAGAAACCAGGGGACACCTGGCACAGGGCCATCTTCTTCAGGGCAATAGATGAAGATCGGAGCGAGTTAAAAGTCCAATTTCTGCCCTCTAGGAAGGCAGGCTTTAGAAACAGTTTGGTACTGTGTTCTTCAGTCCTCCAAACACAGGAGAGAGGGCGCTGTGAGAGATGGTCTCAATCAAGACTTGAGTTAGCAACAAGGTGGTGAGTTTAGAAGTGATGAGCTTACTTACTTAGGAGGGACATGATTCAGTGCAGTTGAAAGCAGGCAGGGAAGCAGAGGCAGGGTGGAATGGAGAACAGGGGAGAAGAGCTGGTGTGGGCTCAGGCCAAACAAAGGTCTCTCAACCCCAGGAAGGCAAGGAAGTACACTGCCATGCTTAGAATGAATTCTCTCCTCAACTTTGCTTTTCAGACTCCTCCCCTGAAGACCTAACAGGTACCTGCTCTTCTGTGAAGCTTTACCTGATGTCCCTCCTTGATGAGAAGATGCTTTCATATAGTCCTAGAACATTTTGTATAGATCTCTTCTGTGCCTTCATCACACCTGTCATGTAATATCTATGTGACAATCTCCCTAGCAGAATATAAAAGCCCCTTCAAGGTAAATAATCAGCATTTTTTCTTTGAATCCCCATAACTTTACACATATGAGGCACCCACTAAATAGGTGAATTTTGTATGTAGTAGCTTTTCCTTCTGTCCACTACCTCCCCCCATTTTAGGCACTTCCTCTCAGGTAAGAACTTAATGCCACTAATTTTACTACCAAGTACAAATGTAAAGTCTATGGTAGAAAACAGGCTAGCTGATCTGGTGATCAAGATCCTGTGTGGAAGGAGTGACCTAGGAAGGACGCTAGGCTGGGCATTTGAGTACCTGGGTCCTATCCCTGCTCAGCCACTCAGGAATTTTTGCCAAATCTGCAACCTAAACCTCACCTCTTAATGGTAGGATAAAAGAGGCTTTAAAAAAAAATTTAATATATTTTAAGGAATGTCTTAGTCACAGTGATTTCTGGTCTCCTAAAATCTCACCCTGACAATTTCAATGATGAATCAAAGCCAAACCGAGAAGGATTTAGCAGCAGAAGACAAAAGGAGTAACTGTTGCTGGTGTTATCCTCCCAAACTGAACCCCAGACAAGATGCTATTTGGAAATCCCCCAACTCGAAATCTGAATCTGGTTACTGAGGATTAGCTCTGCTGTTTACTTACCTCAGGCAAATTATTTAGTCTCTCTGGGCCTCAGTCTCAGCATCTCAATCTTCAATCTCCCTGTAGAATAAAAGCTGTATCATATCACTTCTCCACTCACAGGATATTTTAGCTAAATTGGCCTATTTATTGTTCCTCATACACACTCCATCTCTTGCCTCCAAACTGGGCACAGGCTGTTCCAGGGGACTGAAAGGCATTCCCTCGTCACCTCTATCTCCTGGAATCATCAGCTTCCATTAAGGGGTCAATCCAAGGACCACTTCCTACATCAGTCCTTTTCTGATCCTCCAGCTATCACTGTTTCTCCTTCCTAAAATCCTTCTGTATCTACTCTATTTAAGAGAAAGCCTCTTCTAATCAATAGACTGCCAACCCTGGAGTCAAGAAAAACTAGATCCTGATTCCCCCTTTGATATTTTAATGGCAATTAATTCTGGGCAAGTCACTTGGCCTCTCCTTGCCTCCTAAAAGGTCTGTGTAAAGCCATGGACGTGTTAGGGCTAGGGATTGGACCCCTGATTTCACTGGTGATGGAAACAAGCACTTGCTGAGAAACTTCCTCAGCCCACACACCAGCTTCTCTGTAAAGTATAGTCTTAGACTGTTACCTAGCACACAGAGAGATTATGACTTACCTAGAATCACAGAAGGAATGTATGTCAGAGGCAGGTGTCTTGTTGGTCCTGGCCATTATTATTATTATAGCTAGCATTTATAAAATATTTACCATGTGCTAAGCACTTTACAAATATTATCTCTGATCCTCACAACCCTGGGATATAGGGGCTATTGTTATCCCCATTTACAGATGAGGAAAATAGAGGTTTTTAAAATGATTTGCCATGTGCCACACAGCTATTAAGTGTCAGATTCAAACTCCAGGCCCACAGCCCTTCCTAGTTGCCTGAGGCACCTTCAAGACAAGCTCAAGTACCCTGCCTCTCATAGCCATGCTGTAGATTTAAATCTTTCACATTTATTTATTCAACTCTTTACATACTGAATTCTCCTCTCCCCACTCCCACTAGAACATACATTCCTTGAGGGTATCATTTTAACCTATATATGTCATTTCTTCCATTAGAATGTAAGCTCCATGAGGGCAGGGACTGTTTTTGGTTTCTTTTCTAATCTTGGTACTTGGTGGCACATAAGCTCTTAAGAAAGGCTTGGGTTATTTTTTTTCTTTCTATTTTGTATCCCCACAGCCTAGAATAGCATTTTACATATGCATGATAAGCTCTTAATAAACTCTGGTTCAATTGAATTAGAATAGATTGTAAGCTCCTTGAGGGCAGGGAATGTCTTTCTTTTTATTAATTATATCCTCAGAACTCAGCACAATGCCTGGCACATAGACTGGATCAACTTTGGGGGGAAAAGAGGTAAATAACCTCTGAGGCCCTTCAAAGCTTGAAATCTGCAAACCTAGATATTTTTTTAAAAAGCAGAAGGCAAACTATGTAAGGTTGATTCAAAGTGGGAGGCAAAGAGAACAGAACCTAGAGAATAATATATATAACAATGTAAACAAACAAAAAAAAACACCAAAAAGGAAGTTGGCAACACACATACTAAACTAGGAAGTTGAAGTCCAGTTTAACTAAAAAACCAACGCAAGTAGTCCCAGGGCACAAATAATAAGACGCACCTCCTTACTCAAGTCAGGGGCAATGAGCTTAAGGGGGCGGCTAAGGAGTCACTCAACAATTATTTCTGAAGCGCCTACTACGTGCACCCAGGAGCGCGAATGTCCCAGGACGTCACTGTGCCAGATGTTTTTGCTCAGCTGGCAGGGGGTTTTCCTTCCCAGAAATAGCTGTGATATAAAGACAGATGACATCCATAAAACCTTTTTGGTAAGTTAACAGAAATCCAGCCAGGTTGCTTCGCTGGTGTCTTTTGATTGGCACCACTGGGTCACTCAGTCCGAAGCTGGTGAATTGTATACGCCAGGTGATGGATTGATTCTCCGCCCCCGCCTGCAGCACGTAGAGGGAAGGGCGGCCGAGCCGGGGGACTACAACTCCCATGAGCGCACGGGGCAGGGGAGCCAACCTCTCCCAGCATTCTCCTGGATTAACCCATTAGTCGATGCTTCACAGGAGTGAAGGTGGGTGTGGGTAAGTAGAGGGTCGTTTTGAGGGTCTGCGGGCACCTCTCCCTGCCTCGCTAAGAACCACGAACCGTGGGCTGAGGCGGTCAGCAGCGAGGAAGAAGCCGAGAAGGGAGAAGACGCTTGGCTACGGCCGCCCTCAGAAACCAGTATGTCAAAGGAACAGCCCGGGGCCTCCTCCGGAGGGCAGCGGGACGTAGGGCGCGGCCTCGAGAACCTGCCCATCAGTTCGTGGCCCGAAGGGGAAGAGCCCGAGTTCCAGGTACCGAAGTGGGGCGGTGGGGGGGAGAAGCTGCGCGCGCACGGCTCCGCCCTCGGGCTGCCCTCGAGCGCCGCCTAGTGAGGGCGTGCGCGGCGCGAGGAGGGCGCCGTGGCCCCACCCCCACCCCGCCCTGCGCCACGGCGCCCTCCCCGCCCTTGTGCAGGCGCCTTCCCTTCTCTGTACCCTTCGAAGGTCCGCAGGCACGTGCCGCCCCGGGCCTCCTACCTGCTCCACGAGCTCAAAGGAGGGAGGTGGAGAGAGCATCACAGGCCTTGTGAGCCTCTGCTCCTCCTCCATACTGGATCTGAGACTTGTAAGGGACCTCTTCTGCCCTCTAGGGAAGGGGGAAAGGAGCAAGCATTTATGAAGTGCCTACTACGTGCAGGAGACTGGACCTGGGCTGTCAATAGAAAACCCCCAGTGAGAATTGTCTCCAATGACTGCCTGTCTTGTTTCTACATTAGCAGTTTTCCTGTTGTCTCCCCCATTACTCTGAGCTCCTGGAAGAGACTGGCTGTCTTTTGCCTTTCTTTGTATACTCAGCCTTTACTACTATGCCTGGTACATAGTAGGTGCTGATATTGGGAGCGCCGACTCCTACAGCATTACCTAATCACACTTCTTACAAGGGCAGAGGAGAATAGGAGAACCAGGAGAAAGCCATGTCACAAAAATCCAGAAAGGAGAGCATATCCAGGAGAGGGGGATTAGCAGTGTTGAGTGTTACAGTGAGGTCAAGAAGGGAGAAAGAAAAAAAATCAGATTTGGCAATCAGAGATCGTTAATAACTTTGGCGAGAGCAGCTTCAGTTGAATTATGAGAAATAAGAATATGCTTGAACCACTTTAAGTAAATAATCTTCTTTTTCTTCCATTGAAGTAGTCTGATACTTCATCATGCTATGCAGGCAGTTATAGAAAGGTCATACCATGGCAGCACAGACATCAGGAAGTCCTGTCAAGATGGAAAAAGCTCTTTGAGTGCAGATTCCAGAAATGGACCATGTGTATAATATATCCCAGGACTATCCTAGCTAAGTTTGCAGAGGCTTTTCACCAGGGTGACTGCAGGGTAAAGAATTTTTTGGCCCCAGCAACTTTTGAAGACCATTTCCCAAGTTGGAAAGAGTTTATGATCTGTGTCAATGGAGAGAATGCCAAAACTGATAAAATTATAAATTTTGTGAATACTGAAGTGAGAAACAAGTAAAATTATGTGTAAGATTTCATCCGCACTGTCTCTCTAATTCTCAGTCTTTCCCTGTCAACACTCCCTTCCTGCTACCTACAAACACAATTAAGTTTCCTTCATGCCTAGAAAAACCTTTGCTAGATCCCTACCACGCCCAATAGTTTTCTCATCTTCTTTTCTCTGAAAGTCTTAACTTCCTCTTGAGATCTGGCTTCTAACCTCATCATTCAACTTGAAACTGTGCTCTCTCCAAAGTTACCAATGTTGATTGCCAAATTTAATTACCTCAGTCCTCATTCTACTTAACCTTTGCCTCTTGGATATTCCCTAATTTCTGAATTTTTGTGCCTGTTTTCTCGTGGTTCTTTTCCTGCCTGTCTGACCAGTTAGGATTCTCAGATTCTTTTGCTGGATCTTTATCCATGTCACTGTAACTTGCTGTGGGTGTCCCATAACTTCTCTCTCCTGGGCCCTGTCTTCTTTCTCTCTGTACTCTTACTGGATTGTCTCATAGCTTTTCAAAGGTTTAGATATTATCACTGTACAGATTTACCTAGCCTACTTCCAGATCTATTTATCTTGTCTTCATCTCTCTCATGTGCTCCAACCCCATGTCACCAACTGCCTGTTGAACAATTTGAACTAGATGTCCTATCAGCATCTCAAATTCAGTCTGTCCAAAACAGAACTCACTAGCTTTTACCCTAAACCTTCACCCTTTCCCAAGCATCCTATTACTTTTTTTTTTCAGTCGAGGCATTTGGGGTTAAATGACTTGCCCAGAGTCACACAGCTAGCGAGTGTTATATGTCTGAGGCCGGATTTGAACTCAGGTCCTCCTGAATTCCAGGGCCTCTATCCACTGCGCCACCTAGCTGCCCCTGCGTCCTGTTGTCCTATTACTTTTGAGGGTACCACCATCATTCCAGTCACCCCAATTTGCAACTTCAGTGACATCCTTGATTTCTCTCTCTCCCTACCTACATTAAAATATCCAGTCATTTATTATTTCTTTCTTTACAATATCTCTAGCATACATCCCTTCTCCTCCTTGCCCCTACATTGATTCTACCTTTGTAAGATCTCTCATATGTCCCATTCTCTCCCCCAACGTGGATAACCAGCGTGGCTCAGGCCCTCATCACAGCTCACCTCTGATGTTGCCATAACCTTCTGATCAGCCTCTTGGTCTCAAGTCTATCCCCATTGTAATCCATCTACTACTCACCTGACAGAGGGATTTTCCTTGAACAGAGAAAAAAGAATGTCAGTTACTCAATAAAGTCTAGTGCCTCTCGATTACCAACAGGAAATAAAATTACTTTTGGCATTTAAAATTCTTCTCAACATGGCCTCTGCCAACCTTCCATTGGCCTCTTATATTGTCTTCCCTCCCATGTACTCTAGGTCCAGCCATCCTTGTCTCCCTCCTGTTCCTCACATGGAGCATGCCATCTCCCATTTCTGTGTCTGGAATGGTATCCATCCTCCCAACTCATAGAAGCCTTTGTTTCCTTTATGACTCAGCTTAAGTAGCACCTCCTCTGGGAGGCTTTAGCTGGTCTCCCCCAACTTCTAGTGCCATCTCCACAAAAGTTACCTTCCCTCTGTTCTATATTTATCTCATATGTTCTGATCTGTCTGCATTGCCACCTCTTAGTGTTGGGGTTCACAGAACCCCAAAATGGGGTGTACCAGAATGACGAGGAATAGATGTGTAGGTCACAGGGTCTGTCCTGAAAAGAATTCACTCAGATTGTCTCCAAGACAAAGGTGTTTACCGGGGTGACGCACCCTGCGGGCCCTGCTCTATTTGGGAGTAACAGAGCCCCAGCAGGCCCCTCTACACGTGGGAGACAGAGCAATTAGCCAGGTTAGGTGTCTGGTCTAAATACAGTTCGATGGGAGGGGGAAGGAGAGCAGGAGAAGGGGAGGAGAGGCAAGCACAGCTCTGGAATGCCTAGAATATCAGGTAGTCTAGAGGTGTCTTTGTCATACAGATAAGCAAGGTGAACAGGAAAGAGGTAAGGGGAGAGCTGTTCTGGAATGTCAGGTAGTTGGGGGATGCTTTGCGAAAAAACAGAAGTCCACAGTGGGAGCATCAGTGCAGTCTATGGCTGGTCACATCCTGCATTTTATCTCATATTTCATGTCCTGCATCCTGCCTGCTCTATCTGCCTCAAACACTCTATCTACTTCATCATTAAAATGTATGCTTCTTTAGGTCAAAGACTGTTTTTGCTTTTTTTTTTTTTGTATCCCCAACACTTAGAACAGTGTTTGGCCATAGTAAGCATTTACTAAATGCATATTGATTGATTTACAAATATTATCGCCTTTTGCTGGTGAAGAAGCAGACTCAGAGGTTAAATTACAGTTATCCCTTCCACATTACAGCTTATCCCATTGATTTCTATATATTGCAGGTCAGTATAAGAAATTAAATGGGAATTTTGGGGGAGTTTTGTGGAAGCAGCAGACAACACTCCAAGGCCAGCAGATGACACAGAAGTTAGAAACTCAGAAATGCATAACATGCATGTATAATATTGTATAATATCAACCCTCATTTTACAATAAGATGCTGTAAACATCCCACAAAAGAAAAATAAAAAATTCAGACTTCTTTGGTACGAAAAGAGAGCCAAAATATTTTATGCAGATCACTGAGGCACCATGTCCCTAACCCCCAATGTGGAAGGAATGACTCTACTTACCTAGAGTTACATATGGTTAAGTTGCTGACTTAGGAGTGGATCCTAGATGTTCTGACTCCATGTCCAGTGTTATTTACACAATAGCACGCAGCTTTCTTAGATAATGAAGGCTAAAAACACTTAAAAGTGGTTTATATAACACAAGATATTTTTGGTGATATTGAATAGGACTATATAAAAGGCTCAAATAAGTTCTGTTTTCCCTAAACTTATTCAAAACCAATGGTGATATTCAAGCTCACTTATGTGTACAAGGAAATTGACTACCTATTCTTTTTTCTCAATAAATACTACTTAATGGATAGTGGCAAATTATAGTCACTATTATGTAGATAGCTTAAGCAGTTCTGTTTCAAATCAGATTGGTCAGTTGTACCCCCAGAAGAATTAAGGTAAGAATATAACTCCTGGGCAAAAATAACTTTGTTACTAGTTTACTTTTAGGTATTGTATGAGAAAACCAAAATAAAACTTTGAAATTCTTAAGATGGAATTGAGAAACTAATGCCAGAGACAATCAATGATTGAAAAAAGAAAAAACTTATTAATTTTGTTCAGCCAGGACTTAACTCACTGTTATTCTGATCTCCAAAACTAACTTCAAACATGATTTTGAAGATCTCATAACAGTACTAATCTGGCCACAGGCCCCTCATAGCTGCCTTCAGCAAAAACAACTTCATGGGGCTAAAGGCCAAGTACAAAGCTTTTTGTAGTTGGTGTTTCAGAACAACCAAAAAAGGAAGGAAGCCTTTTCCATGGCCATGCCTCTGAAACCCAGGAGCAGCCAAAGGCTTTAAGCTGGGGAATGCGAAATATGACGTTTCGAAGCTTTTGTGGAACAATGAGAGCAGCCGTTACTCAGTCTGACAAGTATTTGCAGAGCCCTCCGATGCTATGAACTCAGTTTTGTGCTTATTATTGCTGAATAAAAGGTTTGAGACTTCCTTGCCCTTAGGAACTTTCATCCTTGTTAGACTAGCAGTCATGAAACCATTGGAGAAGAGTAAGAAGCAGTATCTAATTAACTGCCCTGACTGTAAGTGCACAAGAGCCTGAGCAGTGTGGGTTTGACTGACCACAGAATGAACACATTTGGTAGGCCTTGATTGTCCCCTATTTTAGTTTAGGCTTCTACTGAAACAACATCCCAAATATTTCTTTAGTTAAGCTTGCTTTGAAGAAATACGAAACATCAACTCTGAAATTTCAGAACTTTAATCCTAATCAGTAGATTTTACATTTACATTTTTGTCTTGTTTTTTACCTTCAAGTCATCAACATAATTGGATGTTTACCCGAACAAAACTTATATTTTGGAAATCTGAGAAATAATGAAACATTTCCTACTCCAATTTAGTAATATTTTTCTGATAATCTGTCTTGGGTCAACTGCTGTCATTTCCCCCAATTTTAATTAAAATAATTTATGTGTAGTGTTAGTGACACTTAGCTTTGACTAAATGCCTCAGAGGTTTGAGTATATAATGCAGATGATACTTTTAATATGCCACATAGTATCAGTCAACAAGTACCTACCAACATGCCAGGCACTGTGCTAGGTACTAGGGATACAATTACAAAAAAGTAACATAATTGAATTTGTGACCAAATTTTGTACCTAAAATAAGAAAAAAGTGATGAGTGTCATTTGTGTAACTGTATTATATGATCAGTCAACCAACAAGTATTTATTAAGGACCCACTAGCACGGGCACTATGTTAGGAACTGAAGATGATACAAAGAATGAAACAATTCCTACCCAAAATGAACTTAAATTCTGATAGGGGAAGACCTGAGGCATACCTCTACCAAGTCGTAAATTTTGCTTCAACACTTGCACATCTTATTTAAGTACAAATGGCCTATTTTTATTTTTCATACTATAAATATTTTAAAATATTCAGAAAACATGATTGGAAAAGGAAATGGGCTAGTCATGTAGCAAGAGCAAGGAATCTTGGGTGGGAGAGAGTTATATGTGAAGGATTTATGGGAAAAGAAAGTCCAGAATCACAGAAGATTAAAAGGGGATTCAAAGATTAAAATTGGGAAACATTCTGCAGCAGAGACTGGAACATCCACATCAATGGAAAAACAGGTCCAATAAGTTTTAAAGTGTGTAATAGTTTTAAGAATTAAAAAAGATAATATTTGTAAGTTTACCCACACAAGTACTTTTGATTGAAACTGACCATCTTGATTATTTGATAACACACAAATCCTTTTAGATTATTAAATAAGATTTCTGTCCTTTAAAAAAAAGCATATAACTGAAATTACCCTACAAATAAAGTATCTTTAAAGTAATCACTTATTGCCCTATACATTCCTGTATTTTTTAAGATGGTAATCCTGTAATCATATTTCATCATCTAGTGCTTAACAGACAAAAATGACCTATAGCTTAATACATAACCTAGCTGCTGAAGTGATTGTTACATTACAGGATACCTTTGCAGATAAATAAAATCATACTGAACACATTAAAATTCTGATAGGCATTTAAAATTAAATAAGTATAATTGAGACTAAATGTGAAAATGTTAAGTGAAGTAGTTCTCTGACGTTTGTTACTAGATAAGACAAATTATAAAAACAAATGGATACACATGCATGCCATTGAAAGTCCAAGCTCTGTTTCAAATCTCTTATCTATGCTTTTGCCAATGCAATAACAGTCTTTTTGGATGACAAAGAAATATAGTACATTGACTGTAACACATTTTTATAACTTAAACTTCAGTACTTCAAGGATCTGTATTGTTATAGTTCAATATTAGAGAATATTTAAGAAAATTAAATATTTATCTTTAATACTGTTATGGGAAAATTATATTGCTATATGATTGTAACAAAAAATCAACAAAACAAAATCCCCCCCAAAATTTGAAAGCTGAGCTTATAAATTTGGACGTTTAGTTGCATGCTTTCCTCACAGTACTCAGAGTTAGGTTGCATTTTTTTTTCCTGTTTTGATGAAAAGTTTAAAACATTTATAACATAGCATTTGAAGGATCTATGGTTTCATTGGTATATGTGCATCCTGTGTAGACATCGATCACAAGCCATCAACAACTTGGTAGATGATGGGTCTTCTACAGCTGCTGGGGCCCCAAATATGTCAACCCAGATGTTAAACTGATGATCAGACATTCTAAATTTTGTAGGCTGCTCTGCGAAAACAGACATATAGTTCGTAAGTGAAGACACACTGTGTCATTTTTCCAAATTGGTTACAATATTTCATCAACATCCTGTGAAAGAAGAAACTAAGATAAAGATACAAAATTATTTGCACAGTGAATTGCTGTCAGGGACAGAGATTAAATCCATGCTTTCTTGGTTTTCCCATTGTTTTTTTTTAAGTATAAAATTAGTTTATGTTACAGTTAACAGTTCAGTTAAACTACATATTTACTAAGTGGTCTAACAGAGTAAGTACAATTCACAATTTATTTCTGTGTCAAAGGGAAGCTTTACAGAAATCAATAAAATAAAATTTATTTGACAAATAAAAGATCTAGAATATCAAGGGAAATAATAGGGGGAAAAGGAGGGAATATAGAAGGACTAGTACTTACAGACCTCAAACTATATTATAAAGCAGAATCATCAAAATCATTTGGCATTAAGTAAAAAAATAGAGAAGTAGATCAATGAAATTAATTAGAGAAGGAAGAATCACAAATAATAGAACTTAGTAACCCAGTTTTTCCTAAACCTGAAAACAAAAATTAC